ATCATCAGGTGTTGTAACAAACAATTCATTATTTTTGACCTCAAGACTCAATAACACTTCAATTGATTTGAATTGAACAAATTCAGTAGTTGCATTATTTAGTGAGTCTAGTGCTATATAATAACAAATTGCTTGTGTAGTTGTAGAAAAGGTTTTCTGGATAAGTTGCTGGATAATGTCTAAGATGCCAAACCAGAGCTCATCACTAACATCCTGATCTTCTGCTGCATTTTCAGCATAGCATAAACTAATATGATACCAGAGATACTCAAGAAGCACTCTCTCTTTGAAATTTGTTGAAATGATAGACTCTTGTTCACACCATTTGTCAAGACTACTCTGTAACATAAAAAGTTTTCTCCAAGTTGTATACCATGGTTTTCCTGATGGTTCAACATGAAATGCTTCTGCTAGATATTTCCATGATCTCTCCAAGTCAAAGTCACCAAGAGGGACTTCAACTCCTGTAAATGATTTAATCCCAAATTTAGCTAATCCTGGAACAGCAACAAGTAAAGCTTTTAATGTTGCAATAGCTCGATCAACATTCCTCTGGTACTGGTTTTTCTCATCACAGACAGTGTTTAATGTATTCTTAATGAGTTTGAGAAGATATCTACTATCATAATTGCACTTGAAACTTTTGGTAGCTTTGCCTGATTCATTAGATCCTGAAAATTTAGGTTTCCAAGTTGCTCCTCCATGCTGTGTCATTATTGAATGTACATTCTTGTAGTTAGAAGTAGTTTGTCTAATACCATCAAGAAAAGGGCCTGTAAATTGACACTTCCTTTGACACATTTGCTCCAGTATTCTTATAATAATTCGCAATTGCCATTCTAATTTAATAGTTGTTTCTTTTGAAAACACATTATCAAACTCTTGAGAGCATAGACTCTTCAAAGCCGTATCTAACGTCTCTACTGATACAGAATCTCTTTTATGTTCGAGAATGTATTTGAGTGCATAAATATTCTCAGAACATTTCAAGTCCGTTAGCAATTCCTTTATTTGCGCATCTGCTGTCTTAGGAAAGCTGCCTTGACTTACTATCACTATTACAGGGGGAACACTAGGAGTGCTTGCTGTGGGGAAGCTGGTCGTTGAATTAGAACTCGTTGAGTCAGGCTGCATAAAGGTAAAGGGAATTGAGCCTTCAGGTTTCTGTGAAGCAACATGTAATAGTTAATAAAGAAGCAAATTAAAATGGAGGTTTTCGCACATGTTGTATCCATATACCTCATACGCCATAGTTCACTTTCTCACTCACTAATACTAATGTTGATGGTAGGTCAATCAACATATCTTCCGGCAATTTTTACTATTTATATTTATTCCTATTGGCTAAAAATTCGCTGTGTTATATCATCTGTATGGTGTAACATGTTACGTACGTAATAGCTGTTTTCGATCGTAACTACAAATGTTACACACTACAAACAATACATCAATCTTGTCGACGGAATTATATACAGTGAACCCTCCATAAATGCACGCCTTGAAATGGAGGAAAGTGTGCATTTATAGAAGTTCACTGTAAATATCTGGACAGTTTTTTTGTACTGCAGTAACTTGTTGATATTGCCATTGACTATAGAAATATCTGGCTTTATTCTTACGAGAAATAATTGTCACCGATTTTTTCATCGAGGTTATAGTTATCAGCAAGTATTAACGCATATCCGGTCAGCTGGACAAAATTAATTGCACGGCGTAGACAAAACTCTATTAATAATTTCTGAAGATTTGTGACTCAAAATTGGCATACGCAAGTAGCGGACTCTAGTATGAAGGCGAAAAAACTTCGGCCATACTGTACATCTATTCGCCTATGTTTGTTATGTCATTGAATATTTGGCTTCTTAATAGTCATTGATCGGGCATGCAAGAAAACAATTGTAGAATGTCTAGAAGGTTCCTATATTGATGCGTAGTAACATAAGCAGTAATGGTAAGCTTGATATTGGTCAAGAAACTGAATAAACAATCGCTGGAGACTTGCAAAAAATAGATTGCCTATATTTTTCTGATAGCCGCGTTACGCAATAAAATTAACGGTCATCCTTTGCATATTTACGTTGGTACGCTATCACAACATGGATAACCTAATTATTCAGAACCCGCTGAAGTTAATATGCTCCTTCTTTACGATAGTGCTTCAGGAGACTTAAGCGAATTGGATTTTATTTGATTAGATATTGAATCGCTTACAATAAGCTAGCAATGTTTCGTTACGCATTAAATTCATATACGGAGGTCGTCGAACAATATGCAGGATCGATCATTTTCAGTTAACTAGTGCACTTCAATGAAAACAAAATTAATTAATTACTGTAACGACCGCATCGTTGTATCAGTTGTACCGACTAAATGCATGCAAAATGGGTTTAGGAGAAGCTTTTACATTTTGGGTTTCATTGAAATTGTTTACCCAAAAACACCCAGACTAAACATAGAGTTGATATGCGGTCACAATAAATAATTTTAACAATGACATTATTCTGTACTCGAAAAACGAATTGATAGCAAATCTAGCGCTGTTTGGCTTTGGAAAATAAGAAAAATGTAGGCTTTAAAATAAAAAATTTGACTACTGGCGAGTTACTTCTATTGAAGAACAGTATGTTCTGAATATGCAACGACTCATGGACTTAACGTATACATGCAGCGTATATTTTCGAACCAAATTGCAATATATACTGTGTGCTTGTTAAGGACATAGTATAGTTTCTTAGTTATTTTTGCCAAATATCATAGTTTGGCAATAAAAATGTGCTCTTATCTGAGTTTACTATATCGAAATTTTTTTTATATCGAGTTATATTATCATAGTATTAAACTCCATTGATGTGGATCGATCTGTGAGCTCAAAAAAACCAAACTTTTGTAAGTGGCTTTATTGAACACTACGAACTAACACATATGAATATGTGAATCTACTTCTCTACAAGTAATATGCTCAATTGGCATTCATCTCTGTGAAGCATGTCTCTAGCTTTGCTACTTATCGTTGTATAGTTCCCCCGTTATTTTTGCGCCACAGTTGATTATATCACACACAGCGCCGCTGTTGAAAACATCTCATCAACACATTTACCATTTAATTACCGTTGAAAATAGTATGTGGCTAGAAAAATATTTAATTGCTCAGAAATTACTAGGCTCTGAATGTTCCATGTTCTGTGCGCATCATATCACTTATCAAAATTTTTATCAATCATGGTGTTCAATATTACAGTGATCAATATTACAATGATACCTCTATGCCAGTGACGCGTACTCACGTTGGAGGATACTGTAATATCGCTCTTTTATTGTTGCAGACATCTAATTACTGATTTTTGTAATCGTTAATAGAGTAGCTTTACTAATATCATGTTATATTTTTCTGATAATCGTACGATCAGAGCGTGAAAACGTTTATAATAATTGAATCTTATTCTGGCTTGTTAATATTGCCTATATAGTGTGGTTATAATAATAATACCTAACAAATAAACAATTGGAATTAATTCCACCGATAGAAATAGATGTAAAAACTTGATGTTAGTAAGTAATCTAGAATTGACATATACGAGGCCAGCTGTAGATATTAAAAGCTGTTAATTTGTCGAATATTATCTAGAAAAAGTAGTGATTCCCAAAGCTTTGTTGTGACCGTCAGCTCGACGCTGATAAGAAGGTCGGCCTAATTATTAAACTTTGTTTCTTTGTCTGACTGTCAGTTTTTGCTATGTTATATAGACTCACTCTACTTTGACTCCTGGTGTGTCTCAGCAGAAGCATTCGCTTAACGGATAACATTTTTCTAACATCTAAGTAAATTTCCATTTGCTTAAAGTGCAAGTCGTACCAATATAACAATAATAGCGAAAGAAAAAAAAGGCATTTTGAAAATGAGCTTCAATTATATCAATTGATAACCCATGCATTGTAGATGTCTGGATCGTTGTATCTATCGCTATATATTAAGTTTAATTATATATATATATTTTTTTGCAATTCAGTGATCTAGTGTATTTCACATAAAAGATTAAAACGGGTAACTGTTTTAGATTTGAGAAGTACAGCGTAGTGGGTTATCCAACGATTAATGTTGAAGATAAAACAAATAACCGTGTCGTGTGATTGTGTGGTGATTGTTATTATTTGATTCTCATAAATAAGGCGTACCTAACAAAAAGCAGTGGTATATTGCGGAATAACGCGGGTGTTACAAACAGTGTTATAATAAACACGTGACCGTGATCGGCAATCGAAATTCAGACTTTTCGTATCTATCAGCCCATTGAGATAGAGGACTTGGTGTATGAAATTGTCTTGACAGACTGTACTAAGTTCTGGGAAGCTAAGGGTACAACTGATGACCCCTTTGTAGTAGTAAAGCAGACTTTTGTTTTCCTACATAATAATCATAATTCATTTCCCGTAGCAATCATCCGTGAATTTACTGAACAATGCTTCTGATGCGTCAAAGGACGGCGGTTTAGGTTATCCAAGGACTCTTCAGGACTTTTCAGTGGACAGAGTAGTTGACGGCAGACCATATCAACTCGGAACTAATAGTCAGCATGCGGTATGCAGGATCAGATACGTGCGTTTTACTCTGTTGTCGAGTAATAAATCTAAATTGTTAGTGTTAGTTTATGTTTTCGGTTGAAGGGCGAAAAACCGCTAGCGAATCGAATCGGATAGCTATCGTTGAGCATTAAGTAACAACAAGTCGAATATTTATTGCTCTGACATTGTGAGTTTATATTTATAGCTATCGTTGAACGACCGGCCATCATCCACTATGTGGAGAGAGTTGATGAATTGTGCAAACAAGCAGCTCAGTTTTGTAGAGGTATCATGTACGATTGACAACATTTATGGTTATGCTGAACGAACCTTCGGACGCCACTTGGAAGCAAATGCAAGGGAAGAGATGGTCGGTATGTTGAAATGGCAAATGCATTTGCGAGAATGACTACACAGGAACGGGAGAAGGAACTATCAAGTCAGGTACACATCGCTGAGCTTCATTTCTGTGCAGCTTCGTCATAGAGACCCATACGCTCTGTAGTTCTCGGTCCTATTAAATGAAAAGAAAAAGAAACTTAGAAAATTGCTAAATTATTGGAAAGTCGAGGTATGTAAACTGTAGCTAACTCATATTGCTATGGATCTTTGATAGCAGTGTCAAAATTTGTCAATTTATTTTGATCGTTCAGAAAGTTTGGCGATTGTTTCCAACTTAGGGTGTGTAAAGTTTCTGAATTATCAACGAGCTCCAAACTCATAAGGTTTTATTTAACACTTAGTCGTCAGCTCACATTCTCTTCGCTAATTTGATATTTAACTAAAATAGCAGGTTTCTGTCATATACGGTTTTAATTTTGGGCATGCGCATCTTGTTTAAATGTTTAAAATAGACGCGTATTCTTTCGTTGGGGAAAAACTTTGTTTTGCTATCACTTCCAAAAGTTTCATAATTAACGGAAATCTTGCAAATCGTTCAGGCATATTGACAGAAGATATTACCGAGCCCTCATCGATAGTGAATGACGAAATGTCGAATATCACAAGACCACGGAAAGAGACAACGCCCGAACGTAATTCTACTATGGACTGCTGTTGGCAGTTCTAGAACCGCCACGCTAAGAGAGGCTGAATGCTGCCAAACTCCGACATGTTAGTACACGACAGAGGGAAGAAATTACTTATTAATTGAGTCTAATGTCGATAGAAGAGAGGCAGCAAAATATATCGCTGGATTCGGACAAGAAAATAACGAGAATAATGACAAGAAGAACTACGCTTGACGATAATAATCATAATTATGAAGCTGAGACGGAAACGGAATACGACTATTCAACTGATCAGCGTCTTGGAATTGACCGATCTAGCGTCGGCGACTACTATCAGAGGCAACGAACCGTCCTTTATAGTCTGGATCAATCCCCTTTTCTAAGGAAGACTTAGAAATGTCACTTACGGCACTGCATCAGACTCTGCAAAGGTCTTCTAAAACTCAACAAACTTGCATCGGATAATGTTCAGTCAGCATTGAATAATGAATTGGAAAGCGATGGGTTTATAGTTGACAATATTAATAGTCATGCAGTAACCTTCGAACAAAATGTCTGGCTACTTGTTAGCTATCCGTTTGTATAGAATAATTACAGAATGTTGACTGACCTATGATAACATTTCCTCTTGGAGGGTTGTCCTTTACAGCAAGGATATTATAGGTATGTGATTATGTAAGAGGATACTAGTATTGTATCCAGCAGAATGATGCGTGACCAAAAAGTATAACGATACTTAAGTTTATTCAATTATTGATTTTTTGCAGTGTTAATAAAATGTATAAGAAGACACGAGGGATATCCCTAAACAAAATGGTAATTGAAATCAATTCCGTTACGAGTACCAAAACTTATCAGTAGGTCTGAATTTTGCCTTGGGTTCGGCTGATTACTTGCCTAGCAATTTTCATACTAATACCCTCTGCTGCCGAAAATATCACGCTGATAAATGACTTTTTTGTAGTGCATTTTGTAACGGTTACGATTGTTGTCACCTGAAGCAAATGCATAATTCAAACACGTAGCTATGAATCCTACGGCTTTATGGTTTAGCGAATATTGTGATGCCTTGAACTAGCTGCGCGCTATACATCCTCGCTGTTTGCTATAAACGTTTAAAACCAAATGGTTTAATATCGGGAAGGTTATTTCAAACTGAACACATTAATATGTACTGCAAGAGATGGATACCTAGTGGTGGACAATCGTAACGTTCAGCAATTTTGAACTTCTGTGGCGTTATTGCAGAGTGCTCCATATCATCGTTAAAGAGAAACCATCTTCTGTACTTCATTGACTGGTTGCGATTATCCGTCCCGATTGTAGGAAAGCAATTGTACAATAGAGCTACACCGGTAAAGGGAAATGGCTGCGTTTTTTATTATGCAGGCTCTCTAACTGTACCGGTTGTTGCTTAATCATATCATTTGTCATTCGTATAGCGCGAACATTTTGTCTAACCAAGTATGTGTTTCTATTACACTTCATGGTCTTCGCTATTAAGACGAAATGTGACGACAGTCATAGTCAAAGAAACATCACACTATACCCCAAAAGTTTCAGATATCTTGTTGTTTCGTCAACATAACATCAGACTTTCATTCGCTTGGTTTAAATCGGCTCACATTACCAAAACTGTTGGAACCCAAAACTTACGTCTGGAAATGTCTCTTCATCTATTGTAACATGTTCGATACTTTTCTTCGCGTCGGAAGTCAACATTTTTCTGGCGAATGTAATGCCATAGTCTGTTTTAGTTACAATGTCCATGCGATCCCCGAGGAGGCTCTCTAATGTTTCAATGTCTGAAGTAAGATCGGGCAAGATAGTAAATTCGTTTAAATACGGTAATCTTTGTGGTACACTTTTTACAATATCCTTTTCTACAATGTCAAATTTTTGTTGTAACAAGATTAAATGTAGTAATGGATTCTCCCGACTTTCCAACATGTTCAAAATACAGTCCAGTTCTCGTCCGCTTTTAATGATAATAACCTCTGTCAATGCTTCTTTCACATACAGTAATAACAACCAATGATATCCAGCAGAGCGATGATCAAGCGTGAAGACAGTTATTGGCGAAGGGTTGGCTCTAAACAAATGATACAATTCGAATTCATAAGATCGGGTTATAGTGAGTTTCTTGATTCTAACGGCTGTAAGTGAACAATGACGCAAAAGAGCTTCTGTCAATGAGTGTGCTTTATCGATAGAAGTATCAGTACCAAGCGCTTCTGATACCACAGCCATCAAGTAATCGTCCATTAATTCCTCCAGATAGCGAGCATAATTTATATATGAACCAGTCGAGTTGAAGGAATCTTCGTTATGTAGTAACTTGAAAGACAAATCCTGCTGTTGCTTATCTTCTATACATCCAACAAAAGTCAGGATAAATGCTCTGCTTTTCTCTGCAACGCGTTGACCGCCGAGAATATAAGCACAAGGATCACTCCATAGCCATGGCACGATTGTCCAAAACCAAGCTCGATTGAGTAAAAGAAAAGAACGTAACATCGGAATGTTTTCTCTAAAGTGAGATGCTATTTCATATAGAACATCATAAACAAGCTCTATCGGCATTTTTTAAATATTTCGATGGGGAAACCAGCGCAGAAATGATGGCTGATTTCGACATCACATGGAAGCTTAATATTAATATTACTTGGTCACATGATTGACTGAATACTGCTCGGGAAGTTAAATATCCATAAGAGAGCCTTCACAGTTGATTTCTGCCAGCAGCGCATTGCGCACTCGAAACAGATCGAGTAAGCCTCCGATTGATGAATAGTGTTTAAAACAGTAGTGTGTTATAAGTTATCCGTTCCGTAACCCGCTGTCAAGCTTCTAGCATCAGGATACGTTTGGCTTATCGATAAAGAGCTGAAATTGTTTTCGATACACAGTGGCTTAACTGTTACCGGAAATTACAATTCCGAACGGTATCAGTTATTGATTCTGGCAACCCCACTTATACTGTATTATTGAAGCATAGTAAACTTTTAAGTCTGATTGGACAATCATGAAAATGTTGCATATTTTCGAGCTCGACACATTAATCTCACTTACGTCTCGCGATAGTAATCACCATGGTGTAGTACAACCAAGAATATGTATTTATTGAAAAATAGATACAGACTGATGCTTACAAGTTGCTTGTCAATACGTAAATACGTACATGTCACTATTTCTAAACCAAGTGCATTAATCACCGCATAATACTAATACCGTACGGAAATCAAACACGTGCGTGGTACAACATACCAGTCGTTCGCGTTAATTATATATGCGTTATAGAAAATGTGTCAATTTTCAAGTTATTCTCCATGTTAACTAACTTTTCTTCTGAATATAAACAAACCCAATAAAGAAACGCGGATGTCTTAAAGTTAGAACAATTAAATACATGTTCATGTCAATGAATGAATTAACCAAACATATTCAGCATGGTAGTTGTTATGCTCAATATCCATATTATATTGTATTTTTTCTTATTGTTGTCTACAAATCAAATGTTTATACTCCTTATACAATTAAGATTAAACAATACATATTTCGTACATACCATCATTGTAATGTGTCACTGACTTCCCGCGGTCCCACAACAAAATGCTGAGCTTGTATTTATTTGGAGATACTTGAATATAGGTATTGTTGACTAATATATAGTTAATATACAAATGCTGACTGTTGTATTGATTATTAAACACTTACTTTATTATGAGCAAATATCCCCAATTGACATAACTATTAAGTAGTAAGCATTAGTAACAATATTTTTATAACAATAGGCGGTAATTTAGTGTGCACAATAATATTAATATATAAAATTATACATTCAGGCGCAACCCCTTACTTTTATGCATATAGTATACTTTTTCATGTATGTAATTATTATAATGTGGAGTGTTGTTATTGTTATACTTGTTACACCAGTATCCTGTACCGAGAGTTAGCAAGGATTTTACATCAAAGCCTTCAAGTTTGTTTACATATTAATTAATAGTATTAAGTGCCTTCTTTTATATATCTAAATGCTTAATACGTCCAATATTTTGTTCAGCCCCAAACCTACATGTGTCACTAAACTTAAATACCGCTTTCTCAATATCAAACAAGGCTTTCCTGAAATTTTTCATGTCTAACTTGATTTTTGCTCTATTACACAGGGCTTGATGATCAGCTTGTAATATTGTTACTCATACAATTTCAGCGTATCCGTTTACCAGATTTATGATGCTCGCTCTACTTATTCATTTCAGTCATACGCAAATATATTTTAGGAAAGTATATCTTATCATTAACAAAATTGTTATATAAACAGTGAGAGTTTCTATACTTTTCAATTTAGTCTTTCGACGTATCTTCAATAAAATGTCTCAACAACAAATCAAACAACTACAGGTGATATAGAAATAAAGTACGGGTGAATTTAAAGCCTTTTGTGCATAATATCAACAAAGTTCGAATAGATTCATTTGTAACTGGTCAGTTTTTTAGATATCAGAAACGACAAACAAACTATTTTTCTATATTCCTGTATTAATTGTTTGTAAATTGAAGTAAAAATACTATTTCAATAAAGTCTCATTATATTGCTTGACCTTAGGTGTATGGAGGTCCTCGTTCGTAATGCCTCCCCCGACATTTCGGTCGGTATATAATGAGATTTGACTGTACATCATATGGGGCAGACTGCAACAAAACCAGACAAAGTGAACATTCTGTCATGTGACATAAATAATGACTAAAAAATCAAT